AACTCTGAAGACAGATGGGGCAACAATGTTTTAAATGATTGTTAACTTCACTGAGTAGTACTGAAAATGTCAAGATTACTGTAGTCTATCAGGTCTGAAGGAGACTCAAGATTATACCAGAATCTACTTATAAGAAGTCTACTTCTTTGTCCTGTTTGCTAAGTCAAAGGTTAATGAGAAGTACATTGAAGAAAACACCTTCTGTGTTACTGCGAAGTTATTTCTCATGCAACATAAAAACGTAAATGAAAAAGTATTTTAATCTAGTTCTTCACTAACTTCCTTTAAAAAACAGCTTTATTGATGTATAATTTACATGCCATAAAATTTACTCTTTTTTGTGTGTATTCAATTCAATGATTTTTAGCAAATTTACAGAGTTGTGCAACCATCACCACAATCTAATTTTAGAACATTTCCACCATCCCAAACTATTAACTTTTTTTTTTTTTGCTTGCTCTTCTTATTTTTTAACATCTTTATTGGAATATAATTGCTTTACAATGTTGTGTTAGTTTCTGCTGTATAACAAAGTGAATCAGCTGTATGTATAACTATATCCCCATATCCCTTCCCTCTTGTGTCTCCCTCTCCCCCTCCCTATCCCACCCCTCTAGGTGGTCACAGAGCACCGAGCTGATATCCTTGTGCTGTGGCTGCTTCCCACTAGCTATCTATTTTACATTTGGTAGTGTATGTATGTCAATGCCACTCTATCACTTCGTCCCAGCTTACCCTTCCCCCCACCCCCGTGTCCTCAAGTCCATTCTCTACATCTGCATCTTTATTCCTATCCTGGCCCTAGGTTCTTCAGAACTTTTTTTTTATTAGATTGCATATATATGTGTTAGCATACGGTATTTGTTTTTCTCTTTCTGACTTACTTCACTCTGTATGACAGACTCTAGGTCCAGCCACCTCATTACAAATAGCTCAATTTCGTTTCTTTTTATGGCTGAGTAATATTCCATTGTATATATGTGCCACATCTTCTTTATCCATTCATCCGATGATGGACACTTAGGTTGTTTCCATCTCCTGGCTATTGTAAATAGAGCTGCAATGAACATTTTGGTACATGATGGGCCTCTCACTGTTGTGGCCTCTCCCGCTGCAGAGCACAGGCTCCGGACGTGCAGCCTCAGCAGCGGGCCTAGCCGCTCCGCGGCATGTGGGATCTTCCCGGACCGGGGCACGACCCCGTGTCCCCAGGATTGGCAGGCAGACTCTCAACCACTGCGCCACCAGGGAAGCCCACATGTCTTTTTGAATTATGGTTTTCTCAGGGTATATGCCCAGTAGTGGGATTGCTGGGTCAAATGGTAGTTCTATTTTTAGTCTTTCAAGGAACCTCCATACTGTTCTCCACAGTGGCTGTATCAAGTTACATTCCACCAACAGTGTAAGAGGGTTTCCTTTTCTCCACATCCTCTCCAGCATTCACTGCTTGCAGATTTTTTGATGATGGCAATTCTGACCGGTGTGAGGTGATACCTCATTGTAGTTTTGATTTGCATTTCTCTAATGATTAGTGATGTTGAGCATCCTTTCATGTGTCTGTTGGCAATCTGTACATCCTCTTTGGAGAAATGTCTATTTAGGTCTTCTGCCCATTTTTGGATTAGGTTGTTTGTTTTTTTGATATTGAGCTGCATGAGCTGCTTGTATATTTTGGAGATTAATCCTTCGTCAGTTGCTTCGTTTGCAAATATTTTCTTCCATTCTGAGGGCTGTCTTTTCGTCTTGTTTATGGTTTCCTTTGCTGTGCAAAAGCTTTTAAGTTTCATTAGGTCCCATCTGTTTATTTTTGTTTTTATATCCATTTCTCTAGGAGGTGGGTCAAAAAGGATCTTGCTATGATTTATGTCAGAGTGTTCTGCCTATGTTTTCCTCTAAGAGTTTTATAGTGTCTGGCCTTACACTTAGGTCTTTAATCCAACTTGAGTTTATTTTTGTGTATGGTATTAGGGAATGTTCTAATTTCATTCTTTTACATGAAGCTGTCCAGTTTTCCCAGCACCACTTATTGTAACTTCTTGATCTAAGATATTTCTATCAATTCATGGAAGCCACTGGTATCTAAAGCTACTATATATTCAAAGCCACACAAATTTCTGCAACTGAGCAGGAAAAGTACAAACTAACCTCACTGTTAATGACCTTTATAACCAATCCTCTATGCTGGCACTGGGAAGAAAATGTTCAGATGCTTTCTCTGAAAGTTAAACCATCCTAAATATTCAGTTATGGCACATAGTCTTGGAAAGAAATTAATTATATTTTTGTTGGTAACACATTTCAGGCTGTTTACACAGCTGACATTTCTCAGCTGTACCCAATTCATACCCTAAGCTATGAGGACGATCTTATTTTGTAGCAGATGCCTCCACTTGAGTGATTTAAATAAGTATAAAAACACCATCATTGCCTGCAACAACATAGATTACAAGCACCAGCTTTATGAGTTTTTATAGTCCTAATGAAAGAAAGGTTTCATGACATTTCTTTGGCTAGAAACTCCTTAAAAGACTACAGTTATAAGCAATTTTTGCCAAAACTCAAGCACTGGAGTTAGTGGATCTGCTATGGCACCGATTAAAAGCAGCTTGGCCCTAAACATCTTTGTCGTATCAATCATGAAGCTCAAGGCAACATCCTGCCAATGTGGCAACATATGCTCTGGGGAGGTATAGGCAGGCATCACTTGACAGGTTCTGGGACAAGGTGGAAATATGAAAAATGAGGCAGTAAGAATCAAGCTTCTTAATGGAGATTCCTTCTTGTGTCTGCTGTGACTTATAATACCAGGTAGCATCACAGACTTCCATATGGTAAGTTTTAGATGCTTTCCATATTTTCCCACAGTAATGAAATTGCATAGAACTCTTTGGTAAAAAATTAAATAAAGATCATTAAAATGTGAGATCATTAAAATGTGAGACAGTGCCAACTCAAGTCAATGCTTTAACAACTAAAATGTATAAGGTACTATGTTACAGAAGAATTTATTGTATTTCACTGATTTTGCCTATCACTCTTGGAACTTGCTTCTGATAAGCCTATTTCAGCCTGGTTTCTACAGGTGTGGAGCCCAAGAGCAGCTGGCATTTCCAACCCTATTAAGACCCACATCTCTGGACCTTATTACCTTAAACCAGACAATTACTTTTGCTTCAAACTTTTTATTATAGAAATTTTCAAACATACATAAAACTTGAGAGAATAGTACAAAAAAATCAAATATACACATTACCCACCTTCAACAATGATCAATAGACAGCTAATTTGGATTTATCTATATCCCCACTCACTCCCCCAACCCCAGAGCTTATTTTGAAGCAAATCTCAGGTACCATTTCATTTACATAAACCAGTCAATTCCTGCCTGTGATCTCTTTCTGAGTTATGTTAATATTAATTATAACACTGACTCTCATTTACTGAGTGTCTACTATGTGGCAAATACTGTATATATATATATATATATATATAATCGCTAATCCTCATTACAATTCTTCAGATCAGTGAGATAACTGAAACTCAGAGAAGTTAAGTGACATGCTCAATCTTAATTATTTTCTATTAAAGTTATTATTTATTGTAGCAGCTTATTAGACAATGCTAAGAACATTTCTGGTTTTCTCACGTCTTCTCAGGTAAACAGAAAGCTATCATTTATGTATGTTACTCTCTTAATTTTATAAAAATAAATGTATCACATTTTCTATCAGTCTAATGGGGAAAAAAAACAAATGAAAAACAACAACCACATCCTTACTACTTAGCCATGGACAACCAACCAATAACTCTAATGATATACTATAATGTCAATATTAAAATCAGTTGTTTACAAATAAATGTAACTGCCTATACACAAATAATTTTTTTCCGAAGGGTTCACTTAAAAAACAAATTTTGCTATCTTCTGATTATTTTTAAAGTTTCATAATCCATAAAACATTTTCCAAAGGCACAGTGTTTACACTGTGGAATAATTAGACTCAAGTGACATCTACATAAACAGATTGTTCAAAAATGTTTCTGTCTTCCACAAAGAATTCCTTTAGATTAAAGTATATGATGGTAGTGCTGAGAGAGGAGTAGTAATTATTATCCAGATAGAAATGTAATATTTACTAGAAAATAAGAAAAGGTAATTAAACTCTTAGCCATAATCATTATTTGGGTATTTATTGTTAGAAGATGTTTACAAAGTCTTAACATCTTTTTAGCCCTATTTACTTTAAAAATAAGACTTATTCAAAATTCTTGAAACATTCTAATTTTTTACTTTAAAAGAAAAATGGGTATCTGGTTAGAACAACCAAGATTATGATAAAAGTAGCCAAAATGGCCTCCTCAGATGATAAAATTTACTCTCTTGGAAAATAATAATCGCTGGAAACAGGACAGAGATAGGAAACATTTCAACATTTACAACAGGAAAATTATTATGAGTAGACATAATAATAGTTAAAAATTACAGACTAGGTCTTTTCTTCCAGTTTTTTATGGTAGTGAAAATTATGAGTATGTTTGAGAATAGAGTGCTATTAATATTTACTATAAAAAGTAACTTTTTAAAGTACAGGTCTAACTACGGGAGATGCAGTTTTAAAATTAAATAAAATGATTAGATTGATTTTGAAGTACCTGTAATTTAGGGAAAATATTTTTGTGTTTGGGACATTTCATTAGTAATATCTGAATATCTGTATTTTTTTAATCAAGGAAAAATTTAAGTCAAATTAAGCAGCATCAAGTTCCTGATATTGATGTTGTAACATTACCAAGAGAATGCTAATATACTTGGCTTATGACACCAGTTCTGCAAGTGAACTCAAATTATTACAATTCGTCTTATCCTCAACATTATTTGATTTATTAAATTCTTCCAATGGATTCAAAGCATTTGATTCTGCTTAATATCACTGCCAATTAGACTGAAAGTGGCAAAAGAGAGAGGAGGATATAAAACTGCCAACTCAACTGTCACTTACGGAGTCATCTGTGGCAGAAGATGGCCAGCCCTCCCATAACTGATGGCGAACAGGGATACTCGTAAGGTCATACACATTTCTCTTTACCTATAAAAAGAAAGAGAACAATTAAAATAGGGTTTCCACATGACTTATGTTAGTTGCCAGTCAATTTATGTGATACACTGTGTTTCCTCTGTTTTCGAGATTCAAAACAAGAATCTGAAACTAGAAAAACACAAATCATAAAAATTTTATTAAAAAATCTAAACCTAATTTAAACCAAGGTTAGATGAAATAATAGTTCAAGAAACAACCCCCCACCCCACCCCGTTGATTATTTTTATGTTCCTGGATGGCTTCAAGTTTCTTTTCAGTCAAGAAACTTCAGGTACACAGTTCATGTAGGACAGACTACATGACCTAATTTATAATTATACATTTTTATAATCTATTTAATTTTAACAATGACTCAAGATATGCAATGGTTCAAATAAAAGATACGTTTCTAGTTTCTAAGTGGGACAGAAAAGGGTGTTAGTTTTTTTTCCAAGGGGGTGGAAGGAAAAACCCAAAGCTTCCTTCATTGTTTTATGTACATTTCAAAGATATAACAACTTATTAATAAAGCAGCAAAGGGTTATTTCTTTGAAATCATTCCAAATTAGAAACTATTTCAACAGAATATTTATTAGCTGAGAGCCATCCATTAATATGCTATTTAGGCCCTTCCCCAAAAGAAAATATAATAATGATAGTTTTTATTTTAAATACTGGTAAAGTTAAAAAACTGTTTCTCTCAAAAGTAACATTATACCTTTTAACTTTATTTGTTTGTTTGTTTATTTTTGGCCACACCCATGAGGCTGGTGGGATCTTAGTTCCCCAACCAGGGATCAAGCCTGCGCCTACAGCAATGAAAGTGCAGAGTCTTAACCACTGGACTGCCAGGGAATTCCCAATACCTTTTAACTTTAAAGGGAGAAGAGGTAAGTAATTTTTCAGAATAAAGTGTTGGAAGGTTAAACTGTTTTACCCAGTAATTATCATATCTTTCTTTAGATTTTTTTTCTAAATAGATTACAAAAATTCTCTTTCATTCCATATTTACAAATAAAATAAATTATCAAATCGTAAGAATGAAGAGATCATCCACCTTAGCTAACTCTTCAGGCTAGTTCTGGGGTTACCCTGCTGTAACAATGAAGCTAATTTTGAAATGCTGCACATAATAAGTTCTATAATGACTTCAATGTGGAAAACAAGCAGCATTCATTCATGTTTTTAAAATGCAGAAGCCTGAAGTATCTTGTTGTCCAATTACAGCATTTTGTATCACATTACTGTTTACTATACATAAACACATCTAAGTTACCCTTCCAGTGAAAGAGAGAAATATATTCACTGGGGAAAGAAAGAAACAAAACAAAACCCAGAACTTAATCTATTTTTATCTCTAATGTACACCTGTGAAAAAAGACTTGGTAAATGAGAACTGAGGTGCTTGGGGGCATGGCTTGATCCCCACTCAATTCAAACACACAGCTTTTTTTCACAGATTCTTAGCAATGGCCAGTCTACCATGCAGTATTTTGCTTATGGTCAGTCACATCAAGTTTGGAAATTTGCATTAGTCATTATCAACCCAACAATTTAACCAAATGCAATCTAACCTCTTACCACTTCCACTAGCTAGGACTATTCTGTCATGCTTAAACATTGGTGCTCTTGGGGGAAAGGTGTTCCATACACACAAAATATTATTATTATTGTTTATTAATAAAAAAGTGAGAGGACAGAAGGAGTATGAGGAAATTTTAGGCCTCAAGGCAAAAATTCCTTTCTTAAAGTTAGTTTTAATTATGTTGTCTAGATAAGCCAAGGGTCAGCAGCTATTTTGAAGGTGGAGGGGAAGGCAGGACAAATATTTACATCTGTTGGAAAGGTGGCAAGGCTACCCTTGCATTGGAGAATATACACAAATACTATGAGTTGAGTATATAAACAAATAACTCTGGAGTGAGATTCTTTAAATTCCACCTTAATTCCAAAACACAACAACACGGTATTATGAAATAAACAGTATTTTTCTTCTTTCATTAACTCATCTGTAACTGCGCTGAATGAATAACATTCCTTTGCTATTCTAAGCCTGAAAAGCATGTTCTGGCTATAGTGTTATGTTGGTATAAAGCACAACGCCAGACTGATGTGCTGAACAAAAGTGATCAAAGTTAGGGTAATGTTAGCCATTGCACAAGTATTCGGCTTCATTGTTCTCCCCAGAATGACATCTGTTAAGCAACTTGTCATAGAATAAACTGGTTAATGCAGAAAGAACTTGGCTGAGAGGGTACAACGTAAACCATATTTGGCTAATGTTTGATTGTTCCAATGGAAAAGCTAAATTCACAGCATTTCTGAAAGTAAGCCAAAACTTCGTGTTAAACCATAAGCACTAAACAACATAAGTGAAAACAAATTAGTTTTTCAAAAATAATTCCATGTTTATCAGTGCTGAAACCATAGGCAGATTTTACCATTATATGGAAGAAAGACAAGTGATAAGACAGCAAAAGTACATAATGAATGATGGTCTAATTATCAGAGATTTAAAAATTCTACTGTCTTTATTGATGGTCTTATTTAATTAAAATTTTAAGTGACAATTCTGTAGGGAAGAAAAAAAATCCGAAATGTACACAAAGCAAAAGTAAAAATGATTTTTTTAAAAAATTAGTATTCTAGGAAGGCTGAATGACAAAATATAGCTAAGTATAAAATGATGTAGATGAATTTATGGTCATCATGAATCAAATGAAGGACACAGTTTCCTCAGACAGAGAAGGACAGAGGAACAGAGGAGGGAGAGAGGAAGGACTAAAGGGAAGGGGAGAAAAGGGGGGCCAGGAGAGGGGGAAGGTTGAGAGACTGAGTGATTTGAGAGATTTAAGAGCACTTGAGAGAGGCAGAAAGAACACACATACAGGCTAGGATGCTGTAGCTGGCATGCCCAGCTGCAATTACTGTGCTACTTCTGATGGAGTTTCATCTTTAGAGATTTGTGTTAAATTCCAGTTAAGGACAAGTGGCACTTCACAGGGTAACATTTCCTAAGGGCCTTTTTTCTTACATACTTCCTTTGATCAGCATTGGCTCAAGATTATGCTGAATCTTCATAATCTTTTCAATTCTTGTTATGCATTAAGCTCTAAATCTATGAGATTTTAGGCTGCTAAACTATGCAAATGTTTCAATTAGTTCTGAAAAAATTTAATAAATGCTTTGATTACCAGCTGAAAATTAAAATTATGTTACAAACTATACTGTATTTGGATTAAGTGTTCTAGATTGACAATAGATTTTCCAGAGCTTTATTTTCCAGATTTTCTAAAAGGACTGTTTCACTTCTCCCCCATTGCTTCATATAAGACAGTTGTTTGTGACTAAGAAAAAAATATTTGAATCAGATTACCTTGAAATAGTACAGAATTAATGCAGTATTGATTTATTTCCTTATATTTGTTTTCATTGTTAATAAAACAATGTAAGCAATGATCTCCACTTCAAACTTCATATTTCCTCATTGTGGAAATTTCAATGATAAACACAGCACTGGGAAAAAGATCATTTTTTTATGACCTGCTCGAAATAAAATTATATAAGACATTCATCTCCCACAAAATTTTGAGTTCCATAAATTTTCAAACAGTTTTATATTTCAGTTAAATTTTATCAGAATTTCTTAGAAAAAAAATTCTTAGGAAGTTACTCTGCTAAAGGCTGAAATTTGAGGCTCAGATTAGCCTTAAATGAGCTGTCTGTAGCTATTCAAACTGAAAAATATAAAACTTGGTAGATAACTTTGTCAGCTGTATTTTATAGCTAAATGTTGTGAGCTAAACGTTGGTCACACAATTGAAAAACATTTTAGGGAATTTTAAATTTCATTCAGGTATTATCCAAGTGAAAGCAGATTCTGATTATAGAAAAGCCACAAAGTTTGAGGTATTGTGGCATAATGAGAGGCAGAGAACTAGATTTCTAGTCCTAATTCTGCTGTTACTGTGGTGCAAGTTGGTGGAACCTGAGACCTAGTTTATTCAATATTCGAAAAGAATAAAACAAGATCACTACTGATTTTCAAAGCTCTAAAATTCTATGATTTTTTGAAAATATTGGGAGTTAGTCCCAGATACAGGAAAAGAAGAGCTAAATATATTTAAGATAAACAAGTAAAGAGGGAAAGTTTAAAACCATAAGACTAGAAAATGAAAGAAAAATAGTAAAGAGTGATTAATACAACACATCAAAAAGGAAAACTGCAAATAATTTCAGTTAAGAAATACAGATATAATAAACATTTTAAGTGAACTTTTTTTCTTGGGTAAAGAAAAGTCTTAGTTTTTGCTTTTAATTACACTGAAAAGTCTAGTTGTTGTTTTTTTTAAAGAAAAGACTAAATAATACTCTTCTCCCAGGAGATCTCATTTAAAAATAAAAGTCATACTGGTTTTCCAAATAACTATTTCATCAACCAAACAGGCTATGGTTTTGCCAGAATACTACAAGCTAAGTGATACAGTTGTAAAGTTCTATTAATTTACTTCAACATCTTTAAAATTTTGAAATCTGGCCTATGATTTTTCACATATCAAATATTTTAATATGGCAAAAAATAGAAACCAAATATTTAATTGCTTAGAACAGTTATCAATTTGTTAGCACTCTAGTCTCTAGATTTTCTGAATTAAGAATACTATGACAGATTAAAACCCTTAACGAAAAAGCACCCTGAAACTACATATATGTATCTCATTCTCTTATCAGTCTTAGAAGAAAGACGCCTTTGGTCATATTAGAACCCGAGCTTATCCAAATTTTAGAGTATCAAAATTTGAACTCCAAGTAATTCACACCATCAAATGATGCCCCAGTTAAGAGTTTGCTATATAATAACTGCACTGAATAAGTAAGTATTTGTGTCTGTGTGCGTTTTAAACAAGACATACAGACTAGGCTTAGTTCCAGTTTCTTAGCAATCACTGGTGCTCTGAAAGGCTTATAATAGTTAAGAAACCAATCACTTCTGATACAGACTGGGTTTT